GTTGCAGTCCCAACGTTACGACGGGCGGCATGGTGGCCTCTTGAAGGGTATCAAGGAGTTGTTGGTTCGACCGTGGGCGGTGGAGGTTAGTCATGGCTATCGTGAGGCTAATTTTGTTGCAGATTATTTGGCTTCTTCGGCATCGAAGGTCCGGGTGGTCTTCAAAGGTTGGCGAGCCCTTTGCCAGGGGCGAGTGTTTGGTTACATCATGACAGGGTCGGCGTGTCCTATTCTCGCTCGGTTCTAGTCTAGGCTTTGCATAGCCTCCTTTTTTTTTGCACCAAAAAAAAAAAATCTTCTAAATAAGGTAAAAATATTTTACATCACCCGCCCTTTTCTTCTCTCTCCTCCATTAAAATATCTTCTCTCACTTTCTCTCCTCCATTAAGCAATCACCCAAACTATCCATTAAATCACCATGTTACGATGTTCGGCAATTTAATTAAATATACTGCATATATGGTTGAAACAAAGCATATGTCGTTGCAAGCATGTGGATATAAATTACCAAATGATTTCTTGGTATATTGTAAGGGCGTGTTTGGATACAAATAAACTATTTTTTTTAGTTAATTACAAGTACGTAGCATGCGATGCACGAGTCAGAGATATTAAATGAATCATTTTTAATAGGATCTGTCTGTTCAGGTCTGAGAAATAATAGAATTAGATCATCTATTTTCCACCTCTTTTAATCAACGTTGTTTTATGCCATATTTTGTAAATTAATTAATATATTATCCTGCTTAAACATTTATGTTAATATATAAATTGGATTTTAGCATGAATATTTAATCTTTGACATAAAAAAGAACAGTTTTACATCTTCTCTTGTTCACCATATAATATTTGTTTTGTTATTTTATTATAATAGATTTGTTGTCATATAATGTCAATATAGTTTTTTTATAAAAATATAAAAAGGGTCTTCTTCTTTTTTTTTATGTAATGAAAATATTTAATGAAAGTTAATAATATTTACTAATGTAGTAAATTAAATTACGTAAATATATTCTTCTTTTTTTTCAGAACGACAGAGGTATTATAAAACCACAAAGTACAAAGAGAAAACAACTGAAGGCTGAATGATACAACCAACGACTGAATAAGACTGGGAGGCAGACCTGATGATCGCCTAGAGCAGGACCTAGCAACGCTAGAAAACACAAATAAAACGCTATAAAACAAAAACTACTAAGGGATCCCAAAAGGATAATGCCCCAGTGAGAATCGATCACACAAGGATAATACCACACTCACTCGGCTGAAAACAGAGACCGAAGCCCAAACAAAAAACACAGACTACAATAACACAAGATCAAACAAAACAAACTAAACAAACAGACACACCTTACCTAAAAATAGAAGAAACAAAACAAATGCAAAACAAAACAGAGCCCTTCCCGCAGCATATGACCAATCCCAACACAAAGCACCAGCAGAATCATAGACATTCATCCCCCGAGATTGAACCGCGGTCCAGGAATATGCTCCCAAAACTGCTCAAACGCCTAGCTGAAGCCGAAATCTGAGACCCTGCACGACTTAAGGAAATGAAATCGACCCACAGCCGAAGGAGCAACGACCAATCGCCCCCCACACACCAGTATGCCCGGAATCCGGCCAACACCACTGTCTTAGATCCGGGCGTACTCCACGTCCAACTCCACAACACCTGCAGAATGGACACAGAGGGCTCGAAACGACCCTCGTCAGCCACGGTTGATTCGAATCAGTGGAGTCGAGCAACCAAGGTCGCACCCAACCCTGACCACTCACCTCCTTGAAGCAACCCACCGCAAACGAGACGCGCAGCGGACGAGCTCCCACCGGTGACCGAGCAGAGATGAAGCCAACCATCGGCCAACCAACATCAACGCGACTCGGAGAACCAGAAGACGAGACCACCACCAGTGAGCTAGAGACTACGAGTCCAACCGACGGCCTAGGAGAATTGTCGTCGGCGCATAAGCACGGGGGAGCGAGAAATTGGGGCGAGGTGACGCAACTATAGGCCATCCGCCGGCGAAGGGACCGGCCACCTGCCGGGGAAGGCACGATTCAGGCTCGAGTCGGACGAACGTCGATGGAGGTTCTAGGGTTCGCGAGAGAAATTGGGAAAACATGTGAAACAGTGTAGCTTTTAGTTATTACGTAAATATATTCAAAATAAAATATTGTATATAAATATTTTTCAAAAATACACACATGTTATTTTAGAATTAAATTGTTATAATAACTAAACAACTTTGATTTAGAAATTACTAAAAAATAAATTCCTCCTATAATCAAAAGATTTTTCTAATCTACATCATAAGATTTATAGTTCATTGGCATACTATGAAATGGAAACATATTTTTACAAGAATTTCATTATGGAGAGAAACCAAATGAAAAAATGATTAAAATATTAATCATGGTTGACATAAAAACAAATAAATCACATGTTGAAATTCTAAATAATTGTTAATATATTTTAATTTTATTACTTGACCATTAGTAAAATTATTTAATTTACCTTGTCATTATCTCTTAAATGATAAATTATATTAATCTAAATATTATTTTTTTATATATAGAATGAAGTCAAAGAAAAAATTATATTGATAAGATTAATTCAGTAACTTGATTTTGCCTGATTAATTGGAAGAAAAAAGTTTACTTAATCTGTTAGTAGTGGAGTTTTATCAATACAAGGCTTGAAAGATGGGTAAACTATCAATGCGGGGCCTGAAAGATTTTTTTTCTCAATTCGGGACCTAAATGTTATAAAACTATCAAATTAAAGACCCGAAAGATGGGTAAACTATCAATACGGGGCCTGAAAGATTATTTTTCTCAATTTGGGACTTAAATGTTATAAAACTATCAAATTAAGTGTAGAATTAAAAAAACTCATAACACAATTAAATCTAGAGTTTAAAAATAATAATATTTAATTTTTATATTTTATTTTCATATTCATTCACATTTTTTAAATTTTTCATTCTTCCACTTTTCTAGTTTTTAACTCACTTTTTCATTCAAACATTTTTACATAATTTATAACCATTTGTACTCTTGAGTGTTTATAATATTATTATCCTCATAAATATTTGTGTTTGTTGTTAAAAAAAATAAAAAAAATAATTATATTAAATAAATAATTAATATGATTTTTATATTTAAATTGATTATCTTATTGAATTTCATTCATATGCATTAATAGTTTTTAAAATGTGAATGAATATGAAATAAAATCTAATAATTAAATATTATTTTTTTAAAAAAAAAGTTTTAATCACCAATCTTTTGTTTTTTTTTTTTTTTTTTTTAACTCTATATTTAATGGTGTTTTGAGTTTTGTTAATTCTAAACTTAATTTGATAGTTTTATAACATTTAAGTCCTGAATTGAGAAAAAAAATCTTTCAGGGCCCGCATTGATAGTTTACCCATCTTTCGGGTCTTTAGTTTGATAGTTTTATAACATTTAGGTCCCGAATTGAGAAAAAAAATCTTTCAGGCCCCGCATTGATAGTTTACCTATCTTTCAGGCCTTGTATTGATAAAACTCCTACAATTTTCTATAAATATTTTAAGATATTTGTAAAAAAAAATAATAATATAATTAGAATTTAAAATACGTGTTTATGTTTATATGAACAAAATATTATCAATAAAATTATTGCATATGTTAATAATCAAGGAAATAATCTTTTTTATTATATTTTATTTGATTTGAAAACATGTATATATTTAAAAAGTTTCTGAATAGGGTATACATTAAATGTTCCCAGATCCGTGGACTATTATATTTAAGAAATTTTTATCCTCTTTATATATATGTATAGATGATTAATTTTGAAAAAATTGGATTGGTTAATTTTTAGTGGGATGTTAAAATAATATTTAAAATAAAATGATTAAAATTGATTTGATGTAAAAATAGAAGATAAATGATTGAAAGTGATAGGAAGTTAAAATTTTCTGAATGGATGAATAGTAAATTAAAGTTGATGTAATCTGTAAGGATGATTATTTGTATTATTTAATTATATTGATAATTTTGAGGATAGTAAGTTGAGTTAAAATTAAGCTAAATTTAAATATGAATTCAGTATGAGTATGAGTCTTTTTTTTTTAGACAAACACCCTTTAAGTTTGTGATGTTGTATAAAATAGGTTTGATAATTTATCCATTGTAGAAACTTATTTCCTAATTACACCAATCACTATTGATTGTTTCAATTTTTTGTATTGGTAAAATAAACCTATCAATATCCATTCATGAGGTTTGAACTATATCAATTCTACTTTAACAGCAACGAACTTTAATTAATTAAAAGAATTTACATAATTTATAATAAAGGTAATGCCATTGTTTTAGGTAGTTTAGTAAACCACATTAGTAATTTAGTTAAATTATAAAATACCTGAATATATAAAAAATAGTATTATTGATTTATTTTATTTTAATAACAATGTTAATCATTTAGAAATCAAAATTTTTAAACCTATACTGTTAACTGTATTCGTTCAAATAAAAAAATTAAACTCATCTTAAATTTATACTCATTTTTTAATTTTTTTTTTTTTATATTGTAGATTTTCTGATTAAATTATAGTAACAATTAAAAGATTTGAGTCTCTAGAAATGTATGTACATTTAGACTTTTGTATGCAAAAAATTTTAATTAATAAAGCAAAATAACTAATATATTTTTTGTTAAAAAAACATTTTTATGCAAATATTATTTAATTCAATTCCCGTATAGCACATGAATATTGTACTAATTTTTATTATAAATAGGTAAATAAATTTCATGACGGTGCTGTTGCGGATTTCCCAGGTTAAAGGTCTATTAGCACATATTTATTTTCAAGAAAGATGTGTACCTTAATAATTAGATCAAACACACACACCAAAATAAAAAAATAAAAAAAATAAATAAAAAAAAGTATGAAATTTCATATTAAAACATATTTTTTTGGTTTTAAAAATATGACGAACAGGCCTGTCTAATTTTTCTCCTCCCTTTGCTTATTCTTCTTCATTTTACGCTCCTCACGGGCACGAGCACGGGCACGGGCACGGGCACGGATATTTTCCCTTTCCTTTTTCTTTGCAGCTCCATAATATATCTGAATTTAAAAAAAAATAATAATAATAATAATAATAATAATAATAATAATAGCATGTGGCTTGGCTTGGTTAGCCGAGACGCAATATCTCCAATATGATCCAAACAACTCACCTGATCAATGACACCGAACTCTATAGCTTTATCTGGATTCATATGAAGCGTCCCTTTGGCGATGGTATTGGCCACAGTCTCTTCCGACTGATAAAAAACACATAAAGAGAAGCGGTTGATGACATTGATGGTGTCATTTATGACAAAGAAGTAAGAGACGAGACGAACTTCATGTATCAACTCACATTTCCAGTGTGCCATGCAAAAAGTCTAATGAAGTTGTCCTTGTTTATTGCCACCTGGAAAAAACAATTCACCTGTTCATGAGTGGTAACTTTGAAAATATGTGAATAAAAAATTTGTAACATGAAGCAAATTATTGTCATATCCAAGAAAAAAAAGGGTAACCCAAAACTTGCCTCTTTTGCATGAACCAAAACATCACTGGAAGGACCTAAACCGGATGGCAGAGCACGAGGTTGCTGAATAATTGCTGTAAAAAGATAAATTAATTCAACCCACGCAAGTCAAAACGAAAACACTATCTTGCTTCGGAGTTTCAAGTTCAAATAAAAGCAACGGACTATAATAAACCTCTAGTCTTCAGCAAACTGAACCTTTTGCCTTTGGTTCCTGCAGCGAGAAAGAGGCATGCATGGCCCATAGCAAGAGCAAGATTAAATGTGTGTATCTGCATGCAAGTTTCACAATAAATAGAATAGAAAATGGACATTAGAAGAAAATAGAATCAAACTAGAACTAGTTCGGGCACAAAATAACAAATAACCATGTGGAAATACGTAATTAATAAAGAAGTCCACAATCTTGGATTATACTGTTAGGCTATGTTTGGTAGATAAATAAACTAGCTCATAGCTTATTTGGTTAGCTTATAAGCTTTTTGTATTCAAATAAGTTTCGGACAAAAAGCTCGGGCTTATCTCATAAGCTTCTTTGGGTAGCTTTTCAAATAAGGTCGTTAAAACTTTTATTTTAGCTAGTTTACCAGCTAATTTTACCAAACATTTTTATCATATAAGCTAGCTTTTCAATTATAAGTCTTAAGCTATAAGCTATAAAGTCAAAAATCACTTATAAGCTATCAGCTAGCTTATGAGCTAGTTTTACCAAACGTAGTCTTCATCTTGTTTCACCTTTGCTTCAAGCACAGTCTCTGTGACAGAGTAATACTAACCATATGTTATCCATACAAGGGTGAATTAAAAAGTTACTACATATCTTGGTCATAACCATTTTATTTAATATCTTGTGCCAAATCACCCGTATGGTAGAATAAAAATAAATCTATATAAATATAAAAAGGTTTGGCATTTACCTAAAAAAGTAACTATTTTCCCGCCTAAACAATTCAAATTTACTAATCTTGGTAATTTTTTTCACATTTGTTGAAAAATCCCGCCTTTACATCATTAAATTCGAATTTTAAATTTTTTTTTATGTAAATGTAGAAGTTTTTGGAATGCTTCACTTACATGATTTTTTTCCATCTAAAAACATAATTTACATATATTAGAATATTAACAAAGATTGTCTATCCGTTTCTTAATTTTAAGTAAGATGCACTTAATATAATAGAATATAAACAAAATTAATTTTTCATTTTATTATTTTTTTTTTAAATACGTAAGCTTAGTTTTTTTCCGTTTATAAAGGTTAACTGCCTTTTCGTTTCTTAATTTACATGATTTTTTTACATATAATAGAATATAATGTAAGTTTCCATCTAAAGACATGTTTTATAAAATTTTATATTTATATAACATTTTCAATAAATTAATATAGGTAAAATGTATTAAATATTGATTACATATTTTTAATTTAAAAATATTATTTAACGAGTAATCTATATCTATGTAAAAAAGTTTGGTATTTACCTGAAATATTAATTAAAATCCCGCCAAAAATTCAAATTTACCTTTATTAGTAACTTTTTAAATATTTTGGGAAAATAGCGACAAATCATTTGAAATTAAAATTAAAAAATCAATGTAAGGAATATACAAAATCATTTTAGTCAAATATTTTGGGTATTTACCTTTATTAGTTGAGTATTTAATTTTATAGAAACAATTAAACTGACATAACTTTTTATGATCAAAACCAATATCCTAAATCTAAGTACTCTTTCAATTTTAAACAGTATAGATTAACATAAAACTATGGTAATTTAACAAATGTGCAGCAGTCCTAAAGGATTATGGAAATTCGGTACAAGCTTTGATAAAAATCGTGAGTGTAACTTACAGTAAATAACGAACAGATAGGGACAAGTATCATTGAAAATGTCACTAATATAATTGAAAAATGAAAATAATATAAAAGTTATTATTATGTACTTTTAATAAAAATTATTACCTATAAAAAAAATAAAAAGTATATTGTGCATATATTGTGTATTAATAAAATATATTACAAAATATTAAAAAAGTAAAAGGAAAAAACGTGTTTCCAGAAATTTGACAAGTCTCTCTACACTCTATAGTATGCAATCAATTTATTTAAGTCATACATATCCTAAATCATAATATATATTGATATTATATAGGCCAGAACAAGTAATATGAAATCTTTATATATGTTATATGATAAACACCAACTATTTTAATTTATATATATTATTTAATGAGCAATTTTAATTTACTAATATTAATAAAAATATCTTACCCGTGCATCGCACGGGATTTGTACTAGTTAAATTGACAGGAAACATGGAAAACATTAACTTTGAAATTTTTTATAACCTATTTTTAGCATAGATAACTAGTTTGTGGTATCCTATACCAAGGTAGTTTCAAGATAGGATAATTGTGAATCTCAAGAAGGTAATTTTTTCCCACAAATTGTACAAGAAAACAGATATCTCATATCTTGGTCTTCATGCAGGATATGTGTGTGTGAACATAAAACTAGAAGGACGTCTTGATTACAGTCTTGAAATAACATTCGATGGGATAAGTAAGACTGCAGTTTCAGATGCCTCACAGTGATGCCTAACTAAACCATTAACCATTAGGTTCTTCTGTAAAGTGAACGCCACCAAAAAATCAGATATTCTATAAAACTATGTGCGCACAAGCATGAGTACTACAAGTAGCATAGAACAAAGAACCTCACCTCACACGTCATTTGCATCATAGTATCATATATTGCAAAACCTTCATGCTCCCGGGCAACCTTACAATATGATTTTTTTTTTTTCAAGAATTAGATAGGCGGCCAGAAAGTTAAACTCAACAAAGAACTTCATTACAAAACAGAGAATTCGACAATGAATCAGCGAACGCGTGATTAAGAATAGAGAGCAACATAGAGGATTGGGAGATACAAAATACAAGATTAGCCCAAAAAATTAAAAACAGCTGCTAAAGAGAAGAAAAAAAAAAGGAATTCATTCACTTAAATTAATATAATTTTCTAAAAGTTTAATTATTTTTGGAAGTCAAGAAATATAAAAAACTTTTTGAAAATTACAAACTACATTATATCAGACATGAAAACCATTACTTTTGCTCCTTCCTCATTTTGAAGCAAAATTAATCAGGGTAGACTTCAGCCTTCACATTGAAGTAAAAAAACTATAAGTAAAACACATAAGAATTTAGGTTCGCATATAAATACAAGAAAAATGAAGGATTCCGAAGATCATATGTTCTGCGATTAGTTCTGAGGGGAAGATTAAACTTAAGCTTCTAGGCTCACCACTTCACCATCAGCACGAGTAGTTCCAGATGAGTTTATGTGAAGTTGAATTGACTTATCTGGATCATCATCTTGAAGATACATAAACTGAGCTACAATAAGCTCAGTAACTGCAGATACCAACTGAAACCAAGATAGTGTCCATATCATTGGGGTGAGCGAAGTAACAAATTTTGTTTCACATATTTAATACACATGGGAAAAAATAACAATCTTTACTAGCAGTTTCAAAATCCTTAATTATTCCATCACAAGCGCAACGAAACAAGATTAATATGAACATCCCAAAATACAGTAAATCACCGAGCTTCTGTGACACATATATTTAGAAATTGCGTTCATCCCATTGTTGCTAAGTTACTTAAGATATTGTATAGTAATGATTGGTTATTGCACAAACTATTCTGTAGTGACGATTGGTTTTTTATTAAACAGTATGTAGAAATGATCGATTTTCATATAAAAAATTGTGTAGCCGAAATCACGGAGAGAAAAAATGAGACTGACCTAAGTGTTGTTTTTTTGGAAATTTTTTTGTGTCCAATCACAACTTTGGGGAAAGAAATTTTTTCTCATGAATGAAATTGAAAATTGGATATCCCCGAGTGATCATGACTCCTCATGCAAGGCAACTAGATGAAAAAAATAGGACACAAAAAGCTAATTCAATATGCTATATACTTTGCACATAATAATTTAAGAGTTAGGACTTTTCAAATTTGATATTATAGCTTGTTTTTAATTTTATTCTCATGATAAAACACACAACTAGAGTATACCCCATAACAATAAGGAAAGTCAAACCACGTACCGGCATGCCAAGGAAAATCACTCTATCGGCCAATATAATTGATTCCAGGTCTGGTGGAGGATTATCTTGTTCTGAGTCCTGCTCGCTGTATGAATCTGAATATGATGTTTCCTCCTGTCTCAAGTAACAAAACTGTCCTATTAAGTGCAGGATCATATTAGTCAATTATTATTAACACAAAAATTACATTTTTTATTTGATCTTTTAGGACGTAACCAAGTTGATTCAATTATTCAGCTGTTGCTTAAAACAATACTACCATCAAATTCACAAGTTCTTTGCATAAAAATGCTGGTACAAAAGAATTCACAAGTTCTTCAGCTTCTAAATTTCTAGATAAGAATTCACATAAAAAAAACCAAAATTTCTAATTAGAACTCTTGATAGTAAACTCATTGTGCCCAGTGAAAGTACACGTCGAAACAAAAAAAATCAATAAAATAAAATAAAATAAAGACATGTTTTACACGATTAACAATAACAAGGATCAAGATGGTGTGTTTTCAAATCATTTAACCCTTGGATGTCCGTAAATTGAAATAAATATATGAAACAACAACTCCCAAGCAGAAGCCAATTTCCTTAAACTAAATCCGAATAGTAAATTATCATATACTTTCAACCCTCGCTCTATCCAAAAGACAACAACTAAATTCAAAATGTCAGATACCAACCAACTAAGCAGGGAAACTAGGAATCAATTTCATGTAGAAACTGTTGGAATCGAAATACAACCACACACGGGAGGCCGCATAAGCTCATCAAACATCACTTTGGGTCGAAATTTTACACACACAGAGAGAGAGAGAGAGAGAGACGAGTACCTCGTAATCGTAATAAGCAGTCATGGCCCGGGGGCGACAGAACTCGTCGGAAAATGTACGATAATCGGAGTTTTTATGCCGGTTGAGGGGCATATCACCAGAATCGAGCATAGATGGAGAAAGGTCGCTAGGGTTTACATGAGGCAACTTCGAGCAGTTGATTACGCGGAAACTACGCCGTTTTGGGGACGATAAAGAGGATGAGGAGAAGCAGGAAACAGATGGCACCGTTGCCATCCGCAAACAGTGAGCCATTGTTTTCAAGTTTGGAGTTTTTTTTCTTTGTTTCTTTCACTTCTCCGTGTTTGGTCACTGTGTTTGCCCCTTTGGGTCTGGATAATAATGGAGTGAAAACTGCAAAAACTCGCCTATCACATTAGACTTAGGCGATGGGTTCGGGTCGGGTCAAATCGGGTTCGTGTTTTCTCTTCTTCTCTCGGTTGCCTTTCTCACTCTCTATCTCTCTAATCCGGTGCATACAAGAAATTAAAAAAAAAAAAATATAAACATTTTAATTCGGCCACTATTGGGCGTTACTATTTACCGCCCCCCTTATTACTAGTCACCGTTCTCCTTGGACGATTTTGCCCTTTTCATTTCTCACTTTCGCAAGATGTCCAGCAGTTCAGAGGTAAAAAAAAAATTGTCCGGCCACAATTTTCGCACGGCACCGGCGGTGTCCG